AGGACAGGCTTCGGTTGCTTCCTCCCTCCCCTTCTTTCATTTGTGTCCTTGATCCCCGATCCCAGCAGGATTCACCGAAGGCGAAGAAAGCCGCCATTTTTTTAAAAAAATTTCTTTGCGGCCCGGTACAGAGTGCTCCACGGACCGGGACCGGTCCGCGGCCCGGTGGTTGAGGACCCCTGGTGTAAGTGGCCGGTGAGACATGGAAATGTGGAAGGCTGGACTGGTTGGGCAGGGGAGGGCATGCAAGGAATAGTTTCAGTGTGGTAGGATCGGGAGTAGGTATTTCCACGCAGAGAAGAGTGCAAACAATATATGACCTTCCCTGTCAGCTTCCTCATTGATTTTGCTTGTGGAAAGCCAGTAGGGAAGGTTGCAAACAGTGATCACATGATCATGGGATATCGCAAGCCAATTGTCAAGTACCCAGATTGCGATAATGTGATGTATTATTATGTAATAATAATAATAGTGGGAAAATTTGTAGAAAAGAATTGGTGACACCCTCGACCACTGCTTTTTTGACTACATTTTATATAGTTCTTATAATGTAGGGCTTTTAAAGTTCTTATAATGTAGCATTCCCTGACATGATACCCTCTAGGTCATGGCTGGTAGTTATAATACCAACACAAGAGAGACAGTTTGCTCTAGTGATTAAGGGATCAGTCTAGAAACCAGGAGATTGAGTTCTAGTCTTGCCTTAGGCCCAAAAACTGGGTTTAGGCAATCACTCTCTGTAACCCACAACATCATGCATGGATGACAAGCCAATCAATCAGTACCAGTTACAAGTAAATGCTTTATTTTTGGTTGATCCAAAAACAGACCCTGAACTTGTAGGAAAGCACTAGGAAGAAGAAGAGTTGTAATTCTAGCACAACTGTTAGCAGTTGAATGTTTTCACTGCCTTTAACGTCTACATAAATGAGGCCACATGAAAGTAAGACAACTAATGTATAATGTATGCATATAATAAATGTGCCTGTATGAACGACATGGTGGCCTATAGGTGGAGCTCTCACCTCACAATCAGGAGGCTGTGAGTTTGATCCTAGATAGCGGCAGATATTTTTCTATCTGGGCGCAAAGAAAAAATATCTACTGTGAGCTCCACATAGGAATCAGCAAGGGCATCCAGCCAGTAAATGCTTGGCTTCATTCAGTTGTCCGACTTCACCACAATGCAAAGGATTGCAGGGTCATTAAAAGAAAAAAAAAGTGCCTGTATATGACTTGACTTTATTACTAAACCTGGTTAAACCATTCTTATTTTAATTAAATGATGGAATTACATTTTTGTACTACAACGAGGATTGTATACTGGCCATCACAGTAATCAGTAATGAAGAAATAAAGAGATAGGGACAGAGTTTGCCCGAAACTTTTTGGTATTGGAAACATTCTACACAGAAAAGTTGAGTGATAGTTGAGTCTTATTATAAATGGCATTGAGGTAGTATCTATATTTGGTGATTGCAAAATGAATAGAGAAAATTGTTTGGCAACAGTAATTTGAGACCAAAAATTTTACTCTTATTCTTGCAAGATCTCCAATCTGAGGATGAAAAGGATCAGAACCAATGCAAATTTACCCAACATAAAGTCTAAGAGAGCCTGTGTCAAAGTGAATCAATAAATACCTTGATACCCAATATCTAGGTAGTTTTATGGACTACATGGTATAGAAGTGTTTTGCAATGGCTTTCTTCCAGGACATTTCTTCAGCTTCTTAATCTAGCATGCAGTTCTGTTATTCTCTCAGTCAGATATTTACTAGGATCATACTTGTTAGCTTCCAACTTACCTTCCAACAAGATCAGCCGGGTTCTGATACCTGCTGAAACATGTTTGGATAGATGGACTCTCTAACATTCAGCCCTCAGGAATAGAAAGTAGCAGTCACACATGTGCTGTTGATAAATTACCAATTGAAGTGTAAGGTGAAATTAGTTGGAGAGATCATCCCCAAAACACATTCTTAAATTGTGTATAATATATACGTATTTTTTTTTAAAGTGCAGTAGTTTTCTAAGTCTTGTTGATTTATTTCAAGTATTTTATCTACTTTTCAACTAAAAACAGCAGCTCATAAAAATCTGCTTTGGAAAAAAATCTTTTTAGAAAGCTTGCTGTCTAAAAATGAGAATATACACACTTGTGCATATGCACGCACGCACACACACACACACACACACACACACTCACTCAAAGGTTGGGCTAGAGCAAGAAGCTCCTTTAAGCATAATTTCTAAATTAGAATATGTCTAGCTGAAAAAGAAAAAACTCCAGAATTGCAAACGTTTGAACCCTAGCTGAGCCAGTGGTCTGGTCTTGTTTTCCATCTTTCTGTCTGCTATATCCATGAGGGAGGGAGCAGATCCATTAAGCTGTTTCTTTCCTCTGGTTTTTCAGTGGAATGGCCTTGTTTCTCATTTTTCCTTTTGCAAAAGGAACATGTTAAAGGAATGCTGCTGAATGAAAAGGTCTCTCAACATTGCTGTTAGAAGACACCTACTGTATATCTTGTGTGAAACATGTAGATTGTGTGAATATTGTTCTTAAAGTAATTCAGCAGTTTAATTGACATTTCCAAGTTGAAACTCCAGAATGATTCAGACCATCAAAGTGTATATTCCCAAATCAATTTGGAAAGATTCAAACCATATTGTAGATGTAACAGACTTTTGTATAGATGTACATGTATTTTTCTGTATCTATCTGAAAATCCAAATGTATTCAATTGTCTGCATTGATATGAATGTTCAAAATGCATTGCATCAAATTTCCAAATCTATTTGGATTGATTTTAATGATAATTTTCCAATGAAATTCTAGTAGGAAATAGGGCCAAATGTGGAATATGCTTTCTATGCTAGCTTTAAATGATTACAGAACCAGTCGAACAGTTATACCCAGTTACTACACGTCAAGTGACTTCACATTAAGATGGAAGGAGATTTTCTGTATTCAACATATTTATAAATTACTTTGATAGGGGATTACAAAATACATTACCTAATTTGTGGATAATAAAAAGCTATAGGGAATGCTAAGCATCTATTTTGTCAGTCTCAAAATACAGAATTTTGACAAGCTAGGACAATAGACAGAATCCACAAAGGAAAAAATTAATACTGTGTTCTTTATTTGAATAGGAAAAATCAAAGGGATAAGAAAGGTGTAACCATAATATCCAGAAGTACATGTTTAAAAGATCTGAATCTCTTGGTGACTCACAAGCTGAACCTGCGCCAATAGTGTATGCACCTTCCCTGTACCTCCAAATAAAAGAAATCTAATCCTAGACTGAAATCAACAAAAACATAGTGCCATGAAGTCATTGTTCTTCTCTGTTCTGTGTTGATCATATCATACCTAGAATATTGCTCCCAGTTCTGAGTATCACATTTTAGGAAAGCCAATTACAAATTAGAGTGTGGTTTGACTTACCATATTCAAGGAGATGAGAACTTTGTTTCCTAATGTTTTCTGTTTTCTAGATATTTTTTTAAAAAACTTAATAGATGCTATTTTCACTGAAAGTCATTCTGGCTGCTATGCTGGAATTAAACTTGACAATTAAGGCTTTGCCACCATTCTCATAACATTATAGTTTCCCATGGCTTGACAGGAAAACAGTATGCCATGTTCTAATATGAATTAATTCATCTTTTAAGTCTTTCTATATACCAAAGAAGAAATGGTGTGCTAGGGACAGTAGAGGAGACTTGATTTTTTTATTCTCACTATGTGTCAATTATTATTTGATAAAGTGCATATATAGTTTCTATTTCAAGTAACTTAGATTATGATGTCAAGGATGCAAATAGTATTTCAGATGCACCCCAATGATCTTATAATTTACCAGTAGATTTATTTTTTCTGATTAGTGGGTTAGAAGGGTGATATTCAAGAAGGAAGTTAAATCCTGCAATCCTGTGTTCTTTTAAAAAAAAATAGTGTTTCATAGGGTTGTATAGGGTTTTCTTCATTTTAGAAGTCAATCTGTTATAATAAGATTATTCACGTTTTAGATATTGTATAAACTATAGCAGATTTTCTTTGGTTGTTAAAAGTGCTCTAATTCCACTTACATTTTCTATGAATTAATTAAACTGACTTTCATTGAAAGGGTAATATTTTTTTGTTTAGAACATCTCGTTGATAGAAGTGATTTCATAAAAAAATCCATCAAATTTTCTTGAGTAGCATTTTCTGTACATCTCACAGTGGATAAACATCTATTTAGAATAATTTATACTAATTCTGCTAATTTCTGTATATCCTTCAGTGATTTGGGCGTTACTTTTGTTGTAGGTCAGTCAGTATGCTCTACAAATCAATTTGTATTTAAAACAACTCTGGTGCATATATTTGGTTTCCAGTTAATGAACCAAAGAAAAAGACAAAAGCCCTACCAATATTCAAACTGATTTAAATAGTACTTTAAATAGTACAGCTATGCTGGCTGGAGAATTCTGGGAGTTGAAGTCCACAAGTCTTAAAGTTGCCAAATTTGGGGCCCCCTGCTCTACACTGTATCAGTAGGCATAACTTCAGTGAAATTATCAGTGATCACAAATGGTGTTTGATCTGGGGGGGGGGGGTAGACATAAAAAGTGTATTTAGCACTTACATGCTCAGGTTATTAAGTGCAAATCCTTTACATCAGAGTGATCCCCATAATATTATCATACTTTTTATTTCAGTGTAATGAAACTTCCTTCTTTTTTGAAGCACACAGCAAAACTGCATGCAAGCATTTATGGAAATGCTGTGTAGAACAGCACACATTCTTCAGGTAGGTGAGCTGAAACTCTGAGGAATCTGAATGGCAGCAAGAAAAATATATCTGAGCAGTTTAGGGAAGCTATATTTAAATCCTATCTCTAAAGTTTAAAAACCAATATATTTTGGATTCTTTTATTTGTCTAGCTGTGTTTAGGATAAGTGTGCATATTTCATTAGACTGGTTTGGATCCAAAAATAAGAATGGAAGATAAGTAGCCAACTACACAAGCAAGATTTTTCCAACTACAGTAATGAGTAACTCTGGGATGGTGATTTTGCTTAACTTGATCTTTTTTTTTTTTCTGCTTGTCCAGGGTCCATTTTTTTGCAACCCAAATTACTGAATTTCTTAGAGAAATATTAGCCCTCAGACATGAATGAATCAAAAGAAAATGCAAGTTGTCTGACTTGCATGGGACCAGAAGTTCCATCACTAAGCAAGGCAGTTGCTAAGTGACTCATGACTAATTTTACAACTTTTCTGCCATAGTTGTTAAGTGAATCACAGTGATTGTTAAGTGAATCATGATAAAGTGAATCTGGCTTCCTCCATTGACTTTCCTTGTTGAAAGTTGACTGGGAAGGTTTCAATGGACTTCATGGACCCTAGGATGCTGCAACCACCATAAATACATGCTGGTTTTTCAGTCCTGAAAGAAGCTCAGGCACTGTGGTCTCAGTTTTTACCCAAGAAAACCAGGAGCCACCTCTGTGGAAAAATACTGCCAAGAATCTAACCTAGTAAGATTTGCCACTGCTGGAAAACAAAGAGAACGCACAAGAGACTGTTTTTGTTTAAAGAGAAAAAAGATGAGGTTTCTTTGGGCTACCCTCAAGAACATCCCCAATGAACATTTCCCCTTCTTCAGTCTTGTTCCTTTCTCTAAGTACCAAATATTGAGCATGCAAACCACAACTTCATGTTATTTCTTATGGGGAGGTGAAAATTTGTGACATTTTAAAAATTAATATTTGTATGGATCTGTTTGTATGAACTAAAAAAAAAACTCTGGGATTTCTAGCTCCCAAAGAAAAAAAACACTGCAGTGAAAAATTGCCTTTCAATTATGTTGGGAGGGGATTGTGGGGGGAGCTGCTGGGTCCATTTGATAGCCACAGTGGAAATGGTCATGGAAGTGCAGAGCCTGCCAGTAGGATGGGAAGTTTTTCAGTGTGTCAATTGCAGCCAGTACATCACAAATAATCTTGGAGGTGTTTTTCTGAAATAATCAAACTTTCAAAGCAGAGTACCTCAGACCAGCTTCAGCTTATAGGAAGTTGGTGACAAGATGGAGGGCTGATTCTGAGCATATGAGCCCTCAGTAGTACTAGAGGAAGGAGATAATGTGCAATCTTTTTTTTTCTTTTGTTTATGGCTAGTCCTATAAAGACAAATGTACTCTGTGCTTTAAATTGAAACAGAATGCCAGAAAATGAATCTAATTCTCTGTCAAGAAAACTTGGCAAACTTGGATCTCTTGGTTATAAACATCGATACAGGTAAGAATAAGATAATATTACTATTGTGACTCGAAACTTTAATTTCAAGATGCATTTATATGTTTTCTTTGTTCATGGAATCTGGAATTTAAGGTATTGTTGCTGTGGTTTGCTATCGATTTTTTGAAACAGGTATTATAAGCACAGCTTTAAAAGGGATTTGAGGAACTCATCTCCAGCCTTTTATTAAAATTACAGCTGCAGAGTTTGTAAAGCTGAAATATGCTTTAATGTTTTAACAGTTCCGTTTACAAATACCATATTTTTCGGAGTATAAGATGCACTTTTCCCATCCCCAAAAGTGGATGAAAATGTATGTGCATCTTATACAGCGAATGTTGCCGACGCCCTGCCCACCCGCCTCCCCCCATCCTTTGGCCTCTGCCTCCCAGCAATTTGCCTCCTTGCAGCAAACAGCCTGGTCCGTTTCAGCACAGCCTGATTAGCGCAAGCAGCTGATTGTCGGAAGGATCACCTGACAATCAGCTGTTTCAGGCTGCAGGGATTGCCATCACCTATTGCCGCCTCTGTACCCCCCATTTTCAGCCTTCACGTGCCCCATTTTCCACCCGTTCCGATCCCCGCTGCCCAGAACGGGCAGAAAATGGGGCGCACGAAGGCAGCAATAGGCTATGGCAATCCCTGTAGCCTGAAACAGCTGATTTTTGATCCTACCGACAATCAGCTGCTTGTGCTAATCAGGCTGTGCTGCAGCTGACCAGGCTGTTTGCTGCAAGGAGACAAATTGCTGGGAGGCAGAGGCAGATTTCCCCTCCCCACTGTTTTCCTCCTCGAAAACTAGGTGCGTCTTATACTTCGGAGCATCTTATCCTCCAAAAAATACAGTATAAAGTTTGCTTGCTGATTCTAATGGCATGTGCTAACTTATTTGAGTCAAGATTTACTCCTGGTGATTTCATAGATATTCTGAAGAAAAGTTTGGGGTTTTTTAGGAACTCTATGAAAATAAGTTACTTTTGTCTTCAAGGATTTTTTTTCCATCCAATTTTGCTGTCTTAACTTACATCTCTGGAACTTCATGGTGGTACCCCATCCAGGTATTAACCAATTTCAGTTCTGCTTAGCTTTTTAAGATCCACCAAGGTCTATTAAAAGTTTCTGCCTTGCTGGACTGCAGTATCATAAAAATTGGATGGCTTTCTTTTGGTGATGAGGGACAATATGTGTATGTGCCTATATATTGTTTCCTTCATGTATACTTAGAGTAGATGAGTTTCTTCTACTTGGAAACGATTACTTAAAATAATATATCCAGCATTTTTTAAAATTTATTATCTGAATCATTAAGACATTTACTGGCATTTTAGGTTCAGTTTATAAGATCGTTAGGAATGTAACTCTGTGTTTACTTAAAACTGAATGATTTAGAAATTAAACAATGAAATAGCTGAAACTTGGTGCCAGCAACAAGTATTTAGGTTGGGTTTTTTTTTTTTGAAAGAGCCATAGGACACTAATGGTAATAAAAAGTAAAGCTTTACAGCATTACCTTCTGGGATTTCTTAATTTAAGTGTGACCTTAACATAAGGTGGTGTGTATATTGTGGCAGCTTATGAAAAGCATGACTCATGTTTCTTACCCTCATAACTGAATAAACAGTTGAGTGATAATCTGAAAAGTGATTAAATTATGATTAAAATGTTAGCATGGATACATATTTGGAGATACATGCCTAGGTTTTATGTACTGTTAGACCCCATCACAATTGGGACAGTAAAATACATATTTATATACAATACTATATTTCTGCTTAATCTGGCTTGACAAGACCTTGAGTTTTTATTTTGTTTAATCTGAAAAAGTCATTAGATCAGATATGCAACAATAAGGGAGAAAGCACATATTAACAGTAGCATGTCTTTTTGCTCTAAACTGTTTTGTGAAGTATTTGCAGAGCACATTGTTCGTCATTCTGAAATTCTTGTAAGTTTTCCTTACATTAAGAGTCTAGATCTTGAATCTGGGTACTATAATTGGCATTAGTTTTGCTAACTGTAATTTATTGTATGTGGACCTAATGGTATACAATACAGCTTGTACAGAATGTGGAAATCTGTACACTGCATCTGGTGTGGAATGAATATACTAATCTGTACTGAAGTAGCTACACTTCTTGACTATTAGCCACTTAGTCAAGTTTAAGGTTTTGTTTTTGATAGGTAATAGCATCTAATAGATTACTATTCCAGGCCCAATTTTTAAAAATATGCTTAATTTGTACATATCATCTTAGATCAGGGGTTTAAATTGGAAAGTTTCACTCAATTTCTGTGGTTCATACACTCAAATAATATTTCTGTATTTAGGCCCTTAACACAAGATTTATGCATTTTATGTAGATTCTTTGGTAACTGTATTTTTAAAAAGGAACGAATTGGGGGGAAAATAGAAGCATTTAACAGAATTATGAATAACATTGTACAGTTAGCTCTATAAACAGGAATATTGGGCTTTAAATAAGATTCTCTAGGGAAGGGAAATAGTTTAGTTGTTACTTAAGTGGAGTAATTAAAGGGTACCTTTAAGCTGATGCTAACGATAACATTACAAGTGAACAGAGTAGTCATTTGGAGGGTGAGATGGAGAATCCAAGGTAAGAGAAGCCTTAAGCAAGGTAGCAGGTCTTATTTTTATTACCTTGTTTTGTTACAAACAGGGTACATTTTATTAATTCATATGGTAGGAAAATAAATGTCTCCATTACTGGCATAGCTTTCTGTTCTTCCAGAGCCATGTCAGAAGACCAGAGGACTTTGGGTCCCAGGGGAGCCCCATTCTCTCCCACCATACTCCCTTTACCTTCTGTTTGGCACCAAAGATCTATCCATAGATAAATGGAGAAAGCTTCTAAAATCACCATTTCTGAAGGCAGATCTCTGAATTCTTGAATCTTTGAAAATATATCACTAGGGCACTCTCATAGATATTCTAGTGTACCAGCCTAAATTGATTATTATGAACTGGAAATTGGGGCTAGCATCAGCAGTTTGTCTTTCGGAATGAAGAGGAACCATACCTACTGATATTCCACTTGTCTATCTTTTAGCCCAGCTGGATGGCAGTATCTAGGTAATCTTGACTGATCTTGATAGGCTGGAGTAGGAAGTCAAGGAAACATCTTGGAAGAAGGCAACAACAAACCATTTTTCTATTGGTGCCAAGAAACTACATAGTAATTGCTTCAGTCTGCTTTGCAACATGTTGATGTGGATACATAGTTGTGTCTAAAGACATAGTTACCACTAGAAAAGAAAGCAAGGTAAAGTAAGGGTAAAGTACTATGAGAAATGAGGTTTGAATGCATTGAAAGTAAATGCACTGATTATAAAATTCACTACGTTTCCTAGGGTAGGTAACCAGTTTCTACTCGTGGAAACAGTTGTAGTTTAAAATTTATCATACTAGTGGCCTGCTTGCAATAATAGCTTGTGGTCCTAAGGTCACATGTCAGATTGTGGATGAATTTGAAGACAGATTTTTCATCAACTGTGGCATGAGCAAATAAAATGAAGATCAGATGTTGGATTAAATAAGTAAATCAGTGGAATCCATATTACATTAAATAATAATTGTTTGATTGAGATTAGTATCTTAGGCCTGAGAGATTGATTAGGATGAAAGGGCTTTTCGTAGATATACACATCAGCTTTTGGAAGACAATTGATTGCAGTGAAAATGGTAACTTTAGTCTAAAGGCACTTGATAGGCACCTTGTTCCATTAATCTTAATCTGCTTGGTTAAGTTTTAAAAGCTGTACTTGGAGACTAGTTGAAATGTTGCATTCTTCAAAATATATATTGAAAATATAAACTCAATGGCAAAATAATCTGGTATTTCTAGGGGCAAGGGATGGAAGCAAAGACTCAGTGAAATTGTCTGTTGTTTTTTTCAGCAATGATTTTTGGGAAAGCTCTATTTTTCTTCCTTAGAAAGAATCCTTTTGAAAATCTGTTGTTATGGGCATAGCTATTTGAGAAAAAGAAAAGGCCAAAGAAGCACAAAACATGAAATCGTGTGATTTTTCAATACCACATACAGTATACACCATAAAGTAAAAATGTGAAAGAGACAGAAGTGCTTTATGTAAAATTGAGAAACTGTAAGAATAACAAAAAGTCTTATAATGGCAGGCCATTTGGGCATATTTTTGTTTTATTGGCTTAGTTCTTGCTGATACTTGAACTTTTAATTCAATTAAAATCCCCCTCCCCCCAACTAGGGATAAATTGAAATGCTTTACTTTGTAGTTTTGAGTTAACTTATCATATAATATTTTGTTACATTTTCTAGTGGGAAGACAGCTTTGCAGATGTATAAAGATATTTCTGTCCAGCTTCCTCGACCCAACCAAACAGTTGAAAGAAGTCGTAGTAAGACATATCCAAAAAGAACATCAAAAGTGCAACAATTTGGTAAGAAATGTTAGAGCTCCTGTTTGAGTTAGAAACTCAGCAAAGGGAGGATACAGAGGAAAAGCTAAGAAATGAAATAAATCTTGTTGGATCAAATATATAATTAGAAATAATTGACTTTCTGAAATCTTATGCTAATTGTTATTCAAATCATGCTGCATTTTCAGCACATGGAACTTGTAGACATTTCTGAATGAATGCCTCTGGATTTAGCAGTAGCATAGAGGCTACTAATCTCTCCTTCTCTAGTGTTGAGTTATTGCTATAGTCAGATCAAAGCTGGTCCAAGCAATCAGTGGCCCTTTGAATCAAAATATCTCTTACATGTGGTGGTCTCATGAAGGAAGACACTGAGACAACGTCTTGAAGCAAGATCGGGATGAGAGCCCAGAGCAAGCTCCGACACCCTCTTTTATTAGAAGCAATCTTTGTTAACGTAGCAATTTTTGTTAGCGTCTATCACAAATGCATTACATCACACAAAATGCACTGATTATTCGTGTAAGCATACAAAGCTGCAAAGTTTAAGTTTGCTACAATTCTGGGTAAGAAATGGCAACAGTTTGTCCTTGTTCCTTGCTTCGTGTTGCAGTCAACCACCAGAAGGCTTCGTTGTCCTAGCACGTACAAAGAACAAAGAATAATTCCCACATCTCCTCTGTTTTTCCTTTTTAAGAGACAGGGAGTGTTTTAGTTCCAATAACAGCCTTTGTTAGGCGTGTAGGCAAGAGTGTTGTGCATGTTGATGTTATCCATGGCGTTCGTGACTTCTTCAACCATCACAAACATCTTGTCCTCGTCTGGATTGTCACAGGTTGGCTCTCCTATCTCATCTTCGGATGGCAGTGGTTCATATGTGTTAGTTATTTGTTGATTCCAGAGAGCCATTACCTGCGCAGTGGCTTTTTTCTCAGCCAAAAGGGATAAACTGTTAGAAATAGTGCGTACAAAAATGGGTAATACACAAGGCAATACAACACATCCCGCAGCAATCATACCAATAAGCACTACAATAGCTTGCAAACCAGGCAATTTTGGAAACCAGGATCCAAACATGTCTCTAAAATCAAGACCATTCCATGTTTGTACAGGTACATGTACAATCTTGATCATTCTATCAGTAATTTGTTGGATAACTTTTCCGCTATCATCTACCTCAATACAACAATTACTAAGGTTAAATTTTCCACACACTCCTCCTTCTTTGGCAAGAAGATAATCTAAAGCCAAGCGATTTTGCATGATATATGTTCTAGACAATGCACTTTCTTTAGCTAGCGTTTCATTGGTTATAATTTCTAACACAGCTTGCAACCTTATAATTCTATTGAGCTTATATATGGGGGTATACCAGTAGTTGTAAACAGTGGTGGCCCCCACGTTAGTCCCGGACACCTTTTGAAAGAGATATTTCTTTTCCTGTAGATAAGATCTTTGCCAGCTGTGTGAGCCGCAGGTAACTCCTGCAGCGTCGTTAGGACCTTGGCCTTTTCTGATGGCAAAGCAAGCATCAAAACACACAGAAGTGTTGGTACCCCCCTGAGTGACATTATGGGTTATGTACCCATTTTTTGCTTGACTAGTTGAGAACATTGAGGCAAGGTCAGAGCTGGATCCTCCTTTGTAGGCATAGACATACAGCAAGTCGGTGATGGGCCCCACAGCCTTTGGTTCATAGCATTGGATACCTTGTTTGGTGTAGCATCGTGCATATTGAATGTTGTTATGCAGACAAGGGGAGACCGTCGTGGAGTTGCACTCAGACTTCAAAGTATGATAGATCAGGGTGAATTGGGTCTTCGTTCCGCTGCGAGTAGTTTTAATGCAGGCGTCGCAGGAGGATGGGGTGGCTGTCGTATCGGCAGGAACGATGTGGAAACCCAGGAAGCAAATGATGAATGCAGCGGGCAGCTTCATGATGCTGATGTAGGCAAGGCTGGTTTGGGTAGAAAAGGCCTTACTTGTCGTCCGGGGACCCAGGTGGTGTTATTGTTGTAGGAAACAGCCGCGTACCCTCGTCCCCAGGTTATAAGTTCAGCAGGCCCTTTCCACTGAGGATCTGGAAGCTGACGAAAATATACCGTTGGTCTGGGTTCAGGATGAGGTGAAGAAGCAAAATGACGTGATGCCGCCGTGCATGGGGGGGATCCGGACTCATTGAGGAAGTTAAGAGTAAATAAACAAACATTTAATGCATTCTGGAGTCCTGGGTGATTTTTAATTGATGATCTGTAAGGGTAATTTTATCCCCTGGAGTGGTTCCTCCCTTTAATGCATCAAACAGGGGGCTGAGCATGTGTATAGTGATGCCAAAATAGGGACGGGTCCAATTAATAGCCCCTAAATATTGTTGTAATTGTACGAGGGATGTCTACACAATGGCATCACTTGTGGATGGACTGAAACTTGTATATCAAAAATATGAAAAAGAAAAGCAAGAAGGGAAAGATGTCCTTGGCACTCTTTTCCAATTTTTTGAAATGGCCGTTTGTACTTATGTAAAGCTGAATGAGCAACAGGATGATTGGGACAAAGAAGAAGCCATCTTTGATGAACAAGTGACTTTGGTTGGGGAAGGAAAAAAGAAAGAGAAAAAGGAGAAGAAGACTTTAAGGCCTGGAAAAACAACCCAAAAAGAGAAGAATAAGGTGAAAGGGGGAAAGCAGAATAAAAGGGAGGTGGAGAGACAAGGGGGTAAAGAGGACAAGGAGAAGAAGAAGAAGGGAGAAAGAAAGAGATGAGAAGCCTTAATGGTGGGGAGCAAGATGCAAAGAAGCAAAAGTTCTCCAGAGATAATGGACAAATTCCACTGAAAAAGGGATTCCAGAAAGGCACACAAGACCGCACTTCTACACCTGCATCCAGAAATAACCATAGAAAACTGGAAGCAACATGCAATTCAAAATGTGACAAAACACTCAGTATAATCTAGTGAAACCCCTGCCAAGAAAAGGGGAGTACAGTAATGAAACAATGATTTAAGACATGGGATGGGGGGGGGGGGAAACAATTTTGGAAAGCATAAGTGTTCCCACAAAGGCATGATATCTAACCGAAAGGGGTAAAATGTTTAAGACATAAATGATTGTCAACACTAATGAATAAACCTGTATTGGTTGTGACAATACTGCATAATTTCAGAACGCACCAGACAGAATCCCAATGCAAGTTATGTGTTCTATATTAAGTATTATAAACATAGGGGAAGGAGATAAAGGCATCATACTCCATTTAGTGCACAGGAGAAGTTTTTCTTCAAAGAAGAAAGACAAATGGATAGCTGGAAATAGAACAGACAAAGAATAATAAATATTATGATTCGAATTGAGAGGAGATAAATAAAATAAAATTGAGAAAATTTAAAAGAGAGGAGAAGTTATGTAGAAAATTGAAAATGCTAATAAGATATGGAATGGTATATAAAATGAATATGAATTTGAATTTGTGTCTGTACCAAGAGTTTTGACCCGAGACTAAGCAACTTTCAGAAAAGAGATTTTTTATGCTTTTATGTTTTGTGTTTCTGTGTATTTATGTTTTGTATGTCTTTAAAAATTAATAAAATTTGTTAAAAAAGAAAGAAAGGTTAATGGCTGAGAGTTTTGAGGAAGGATAAAGCAGATCGGGAACCACAGAGATTCCTTTGAGGAGGGCATGAGAGTGAGTCATTCTAGCTGCAAGATTAGCAGGTACATCTGAATAAAATTGAATTTTTATAATATTTGTATAATCCTGATCAATAATCCCTGGAATCACAAAAAACCTTTCATAGAGGAACGAGGCAAGGCCAACTCTTCCGAAAAAGAGCAGCACCTCCCCCTGGGGCCCGGCATTGGGCTTTGAAATGCCCAGGCTTCCCACAATTGAAGCAATTCCCAGTAGGTTTAAGACCCTTTTGCAAAGCTACAGCCAAGGTCTCCATGTTATAAAATTGCGAACTTACTACAGCACAAGCTTTAATCAAATCTGCCAAGGTTGCCTCCCCCCGCGCGACCAAAGGCTGCAAATTTATTGCCTGCTGCTCCACAGTTGCAAACTGCCCTGCCCCATAGATTTGATCAGGTATATACAAATCCCCTAAATTATTTCCTCTGTTAATTGCTTCTCTTTGATATCCTGCATCAAGTACCACATATTGTGTCCCGTTCAGAATTATTCTCATTAAATCTTTCCAATCTTGTGGAATCATCTTTTGAGCTTGCCCCAGACTGTGAAGCAAACCCTGGACATATATGCCAAACTCCCTCACAGATTTCTTTAAAAGAGATAAAGGCAGTGGATTCCAGACAGCCTGTAAATTTCCTGCATTATCAACTTGCCTCTGAACAGGAAACAATTGCATGGAGTCAATCTCTTGCCCCTCCAGCTGTCCTGTTTGAAAAGCTGCTTGCATAGCTTTTTGAACTCTCCCAGCATGGGGTGTATTTATTTTAGGATTTCCCACTTTGACATCTCCTGATGGATTTTTAGGAGCTGTTGGGGGAGATTTACTGACCTCATTTGCCTCCGGGGGGGGGGCAGTCGGTTTAAGAGACACAGGCGTCACAACGGGGGGAAAGAGTTGTACAGCAGGATTCACATAGGGAGGGGGTCCAGAAAGGGGGGCAAGTAGGGGTTGCTCTAGAAAGGAGAGAGCCTCAAAAACCACCCTCCAAGCAATTAATATAGATGAAGGGGCTCTAGGACTTGCGTGAAGATATTTTCCAATCTCCTTCCATACTGTAGTTTTGATACTGCCTTTAGCCGGATAAGAAGGGCAGTGTTGCCAAATGTATTCTAGGAGTTCCTCAATAGAGGTTTTTGTGAGGAGGGCATGAAGGGCGCCCCCCTTTTTAAAGGTAAAATATTTCGTTTGGTTAATTCTCTTAGTTCCTCAATGTGCAATTTCTGGTCCTGAGAGAATCCTCCACCCATACTCACGAGAGATCCACGGCGATCGCCTGCGACCGAATCAGGGATGAGGTATACCCAGGCTATGCCAGCCGATGAGTGTGGATGGTCCAAAGACATACCACCACGCAGATGATCAAGTCAGGGTCACCAGTTGTGGTGGTCTCATGAAGGAAGACACTGAGACAACGTCTTGAAGCAAGATCGGGATGAGAGCCCAGAGCAAGCTCCGACACCCTCTTTTATTAGAAGCAATCTTTGTTAACGTAGCAATTTTTGTTAGCGTCTATCACAAACGCATTACATCACACAAAATGCACTGATTATTCGTGTAAGCATACAAAGCTGCAAAGTTTAAGTTTGCTACAATTCTGGGTAAGAAATGGCAACAGTTTGTCCTTGTTCCTTGCTTCGTGTTGCAGTCAACCACCAGAAGGCTCTGTTGTCCTAGCACGTACAAAGAACAAAGAATAATTCCCACACTTACATTTTATATTGTGGCGTAATCTTGATAGCTACCAGATGGGAAACCAAAATGATCATCACACTGAGATTGACATTGGCTTTGTTGGTCATAAATGATGCCTACTGGACCAGTCAGGCCTATTCACTATTTTTGTATATTAAAACAGTATCAGTCTGACATTTGTCTAAATCATAGGCTTTCTCTTACAAACTATAGATTTCTAGATTGCTGCAAATTTGTAAAATATGAAAAGATTTTAAAATGTCACCAGTGATTTTAAAATGTCACCAATCTAAACCATCTTCACAGTATGGAGAACCAGACACATCTTCCATAATGCAAAGATATATATCAAATTAATGGAGTAAATATATTTTATTAATGTGTTGGGTGTTTTAAAAGTAGTACAATAAGCCTACCTTCAATTTACTGTTTTAGGACATATATACCATTCAGTTCTTTGTAAAACTTCAGTTGTTGATACAGCTTTGACAAGCAATTCTCAGTCTTGTAATACAGTCCTTATTTATACTGGCTGCTTTATATTTAATTGTTTAAAATAAATCATATCCATTTGGAGTCTCCAATTTCTTAGTATGCAATTTATAAATTGTAGCCATTTACAAATTAAACCACAAGGATTTACATAAATAAATGGAAAAGTTTTCTTTGCAACCCTTATGGTATGTGGAACTGAGAAAAGAATATTGTAATTTTGAATGACTTTTGGAAGGGCTCTTTTTTCTAATGCTTTGCATTTATCAAGCTATAAAGAAAATACCAGTTTTTTTCAGTTTCATACTTAGTAAAACAATATTTGTCTTCTACTAATGAAAAATGAATCCATTTAATTGTTTTTGCTATTTGAATCATTTGCTAAAATTATAAAATTAAAGCTGACTTCTGTCTGTAGACAGAGCTACTCCAGTTGATTGACTGTAACTCCCCTCCCCTCTGATGAATGATTGAGCTGGCTGAGCTTTTAGAAAGCTGGAATTTAGCTATGTCTAGAGGGCAAAATTTGTCTAACGCAGCACTAGAGAATCCCTTTAGGTTTTTTTAGTGATATTATTTAACGACCCCAAGCTAAAATAACATAATATATGCAGTTTTTAAAATATACACATTTATTTCCCTTTTCTGTGGAATAAAGTCAAATATACTGTTTGAACAGAATTTTTAATATGCCCGATTCTATTATATACTTAATGAAATTATTATTAGAATTTACTATTTTTATTCAATATGAGCTCGTAAATAAAGTGTAAATCCCATTTTACAGGAAGATTAACTATTCCTAAAACCAAGATTGATAAAAGAAACTTAAGAGAGAGAAAAGAAATATGTGGGATACAAGTTTTTAGGATATCTGGAGAAAGAAAAGGCAGATTTAAGATAATTCTGTGAAAAGTAATTGAGGACTGCAGCAAAGTATGAAGAGCAGGCCATTAGATAAGCTCTTCAAACCTCTCCAGATAAGGAGAGCACTTGAGATCACTTACAAGTGCTTTGGCTTTTGAAACGACATTTAAGTTTGCATACTTTCTTTTCTTGTCATTTTTGGAAACTTGTTTGCTAACTGCCATTTTTACCTTGTATCAATAAGTTTGATAACACCGAGTGAGTGTCCCTTTACTTGTTAGCAAAATCCTCAATTTAACAATGATTTGTTCAGAGACTGTTTGAAATTATGTTGTTGCTGCAAAATGGATGTACGATCCATGGCCAAATGTATGGCATTGCAGCATATCCATAGTTAAACGTTGAACATTTGGCTTCTTGGCAGCTTGCCTGCACTTACAAACTTAGAAATGGTGCAACTCATCCACTCATCTCTCTCTCTCTCCCCCCCCCCCCCCCCCCAATCTCTTGCCTTTTGGCCATCCTGCACAATGGTACTTTTGGGCAGGGGTTGAAGATGAAGTAGAGGCCCAGGGCTTTCAGCAGTCTCAACCAGCTGCCACTCCCCCCACCAGGCCTCTACTTCAGTCCCACCGCTGCCTCTGCAACTGAGAAGTGCCACCAGAACAGCAGCCATTATTTTGATGCAGCTTTTTTTTATTTGTGTGATAATACTGTTAATTTTAAAATGTAAATATAATATTTATTAAGGTGACCAACCGTCCACCTTTAAGGGAGGACAGTACTTCTTTTGTAAGTTCCTTTGTAAGTGTCCTCCTACATGTTCTCCTTTTTGATATTTGAAGTCTAATCTGTAAATCTCTGTATTTGATCGATGCCGATCCGATCCGTTGTGTGTGATGTGACGTATTTGTATTTAACATGACGATTCGTCAAGGCTCGGTACAGTGCGGCGAGACGCAATTATGAGATGCATGCGCTCCACAAAGGAGAATTGTTTTGAGAGAGTGCGCCGCACACAAGAGTGCGCCGCGCACAAGTGGCTTTGTTTTTTTTGTTCAATTTATTTGTGTCCTCCTTCTCATTGTAAAAAAGTTTCTTCACCTTATAACAATAATACTGAAGAGGTGGCCGGGCTATATGCAGAAAAATTTAGCAGCAAAATGAAATTCTGTCAGCATCAAAAAGGGAGGGTAAAAAAAAACCTTCTCAAGTAATCTGGCCAACCAGTGGACTGTTCCAGAGTCACTGTTTTGAGTATATTGTAAATATCTGGGCTAGTGGGAATAAGTACTTCTTTTATTAAGTAACATTAAAGTTGTTAAAAATCAAGTTTTAAGAAAACAAATGGGATTTGTATAAAATGTAGCATATGCTACTTGTATACTTGTATCAGTATGTAAAAAGAATACATTTTCTTCCATCACACATTTCTTTCCCAATCAATAATCATGTGTGGGTTGTCAGATTGGGTTAAACCAATTTGTTTCATTTTAGCTGAGCGTATTGTACAAATACAGCCAATTAAACAAACTACGGCTTAGGTGATACAGTAACATAGCTACTTTCTGGTTTTGGAGCATGTTGATTTCTAGTCTTAGGACTTTTTTAAATTTGATAGCTTTGGAGATTTAAGCACTTGTGCAAGTTTTGGATTGGTTGTGTTAATACTTTGATTTATTTATTTAAATTTGTTTGCTGCCCAAATCCAGTGGACTCTTACTATTACCACTCCATCTGATAATAGTTTTAGTAACTATCTATGGTATTTTTTTTTAGTAATTAATCACTTTGGACAATTTATCTACTAAATGTATTATCCTGACACATATATTTTCTACCTTTCTGGAAATTTATGTGCATTTTTTTCATATGCATGCCTCTTTGAAATGTCTGTTGGTATTTACTAAATGACTTTATGAAACTGTATCAAGTGAAGTGTTTTTTTCTTAAGGATCTGGAAATGTAGGTAACCTGATACCCTCCAAATATTTTAAGCTGTACTGTAATGGGATTTTGTATGATAGATTCGTTCTTATAGTAGAAGGCTGTTTTAATGCTGTTAGCAACACTATTTAATATAGCTTGTCCATGTTCATTATACACTATAGCTGTGTCTTGTGAATTACAATATTTCAGTCAATACTCTAAAGGCTGAAACAAGGTCCTTAACACCATTTGCTAAGCTTTAAGGATTATGCAACATTACGCACATTAAAAACCCTTCTACATAGTGTTCAGATACTTTTTTAAAAATCTACTTCAAATCTTTACATATTCAGTTACTGTTGTTATTTTTGTGTTCTTCCTATTGTTACATTGCTGAAGTGCTTAGTTTGTAAATGCTACTCCTATTGGAAATATTGCTTATGTGAGAAATGGAAATATTATGTTACATTAGTATTGAATGTTTTAGTTTTTTTTTTTTTAATTTAAACATGTAGCAGAAAAAAGGCTATATATTTGCTGGTATTTTTGAAATATCGGTAGTTTCGGTTTTAATTGAAAAACCATGCTCGTTAATTTGAGATGATTGCATAACAAATATGTAACCGTTGTGATTTTAAAAGATTGAGAATATAATTAAATGAAAATGTATAGAAAAAGGTGTACCCCGAAGTGTAAAAGAATGCTAACAGTTTTTAATATTAGATATTTTCTTTGTTCATTATAGGGTCACATTGCACAAGCCAGGTTATTACATTCAAAGAATCTGGGGAAAATGAAGGAAGAACCAAAATTATTGCTCCATCACCAATTAAAAGGTATTGATAAAAGAAGTGACAAATTGGGAATCTAAAACTAAAATAATGACCTGTCAAGAAGAATGAACTAGATATTAGGTTTAACTTATAGGGGGTTTTTTTGGATTTAGAAAATCTGTGGAAGGTTTGGGGCTTTCACTATGATATATAATATTGTGGAATAATATAAGAGCAAGAATTGAGAGTTTATGTTTGCTTTCAGGAAATGGACAAAACTATATGAGAAGTAAAAAATCCTTCATTAGATATTGGAAAAAGACAGATAGAAATTAGAATAGAAAATAGAAATAGTCAAGTTATGATGGGGAAAGAGTCCAGGCAATTCTGTCTTCCTTGAAGAGCGGAAGATATGCCCCTCTTTATTAAATAATGACTAGACTCAGCAGTGTTGGACAATGTTTGCTAGTCTTCAACCTTCTTCCCTTTTCAATGAAGATTGTTGAGAAAGTTGTCTGCTTGCATCTTCCTAGAGGAAGTAGATTATCTGGACCTCTTACAGTTAGGTTTCAGGCTGGAAAGTATGGAGACAGCATTGATTGCACTTGTAATGACATCTGGAGAGGCAGATTAATGGTGGTGCAGCTATCTTAGTTCTCTCAGCAACTTTCAAGACCATTGATCATGCTTCTGGACTGATTATAGAGATTAGAAGTAGGAAATACTGCTGTGGTGGTCTCTGTAGTATAGACTTATACTATAGAGATAGGAAAGCTACTTTGGTCAGTTTTTTGCTGTTTCTGCCTATCTATATTTGGATGCATGCCTTAGCTCCCGATGCCTAGCTTTCATTCTAACACTGACAATTGTCTAGATTGGATTATATTTATATAGCCTATTGTGTGGAAGAGAGTAACTGATCATCCAATCTATCTTACAACATTATCAAAATCCTAAAATACAGTGACAAAGTTTGCAAAGATGATTTAAACACATTAAAAACTTACATATAGAATACATACTGTAGATTGCATGGAATGTTCTTCTTCGTATGTATAGTATAAAAAGCACAGATAGTATTTTATATCATTTCAGCAGTCATTTCAACTTGAACAATATGTACACTTGAGTAGTCCCCAACGTAATTATGGCAAAAGTGCCTCATTATGAAAATTCCCTAGAAATAAATATCTAAGCTTGTGATATGAGATTTATGCTTATTTATTTCCACAGGTTGATAGTTCTAAATTAATTTTTTTTAATGCTTACCAGTTTTAAAAAGTCAAGAAATGAAAGCAGCCCAGAAACCCAAAGAAGTAAAACCAGTGCACCATGGGAAGAAAACTGTCCTCAAATGTAAGTTTACACTTTGAACAAAATATACACATGGTGTTAGAAGTAATGTATTTGCAGGCATCTTTGTGCTATAATGCTAACTCAAAATCTGCTTAGATTAATGTTGATTGCGTAGACTAATGTTAATCTGAACCTATACTAAATACAAACTGAAGGCATTGCTTGACATTAGTTGACAGGTCCTGATTTGCTTCAGCCCATTGTTTCTGAACTTAGAAACAAAACACTTTTTCCTTGTTTCTGTATTGCCCAACTTCTTGGATTTAAACTGTTCTTGAATTTCCCCAAACAATAAATGCTGGCATTCTTCCTGGCAGTGAATCTTTAGCAATGCAACTCCTCCTTTATCTAGAGTTCTTTTCATACCAGAATGCTTATATCTTTTGCAAAGTGAAAGGGGGGGAAAACATCCTTACAAAATCTCAGTAAACATTGTTTTAAATAGGATTTCCTGATGGTTGCATCCACAGAATGTAAAATAAATAATTTATTGTAATCCTACACAAGTTAAACTTTTTTTTTCATTTTTACTGCTGGATCTGCAATTTGTTTTGATTTTTAAAAAAGCTTACTTAACTTGTGTAAATAAGTGCCTGTGACTAAGAGCATTTGAAATGCCATCTAAACATTGCAGGGCAAAAACAAGCCATATTTTATAACAAATCATGATTATTTCAAACTTATTTTCTTAAAACATTCAGTCTTTGTTAAAAAGTCTTGGCTTAGTGTTATACCAAAGGCACGTTAACTAACTACTGATGACACAATGGAAAAGAGAGGTTATAGTAAGCATTCTTTGAATGATAGAGGGGCCTTACTATTTAATAAGAGCCACAAGTTGGAAAAAAGGCTGTCATATTTCTAGTGTCTTAAAATTAGTACCTTTTTATCACTAAGATCTGATAACGAAGGTCTGAAATGGATTTACTACAGTGGTGGGATTCAACTTTTTAACTACCAGTTCTGTGGGCGTGGCTTCGTGGGCATGGCAGGGAAAGAATATTGTAAAATCTCCATTCAGAGGTGGTATTTGCTGGTTCTCTGTACCGTTCAAAATTTCCGCTACCGGTTCTCCAGAACCTGTTGAATACCACCTCTGGTTTACCACACAGCTAGACGCCATCCTCAAGACAGCTAGCTCTTCTTCCATACCAGTTGTTGCTATTTCCAAAGATTAAGTGTGAAAACATATTGACTTTTCTCGGGCAAAGGAATAAAGGAAGAACAAAAGAGATAGGAAACCAAGCCATTTGTAATTTTTTTCATTTATATGTGAGATTTTGTCCAAAATGTGGCTAAAAGTTGGTTGCAGAGGGGTTTCTTTTCCACTCTTCAATTCTTTTCATCACCTCTGCAGGGGTGAGATTCTACCGGTTTGTCCTAGTCCAGGCGAACCAGTAGCTTCAAAGATCCGGTGGGAGCGAACCGGTCCACTCTGACAATTAGCTGTTGGGCCCTCCCTCCCACCTGGCTCTAGTCTGTGCTTTATATCCGGCTCAACAGCTTCGCGCAACACAGCGATTGCTGCGCGTCAGCTGTTTTACACACAGGGCTTGCAGCAGAAGGTGACAGCATTGTAAATGTGTGCGCACATGAAACGCACATTTGGTGTGTGAAGTGCACGCTCACTGAACTGGTTGTTACACCAGTTGAATCCCACCCCTGCACCTCTGTATGGATCTGCAAAGAAAGCTTGGGAAACTATTTTATTTGACTTAATAAAGTCAAATAATTTCAGTCAAATAAAGTCAAATATTTGACTTAATAAAGTCATTTCAGTTGACTTAATTTAGGTATGGACTCTGAAGAAATCAGTTTCATAGATACCACATGTTGACAAAAGACCAACATATTTGTCTGTGAAATGAAGACATTGGTTAAAATTCAAGAATTATAAACGTTTACCGTTTTGTTTGGAGGAGACAAAACAGTGCATGTTCTTAAAACCTTCAGCATGACACTGGAAAAATAAATTCCAAGGGGTCTTTCTCAAACATTATTTCACAAGTTTGCTTGCTAATTGCAATTTTTTCTTACCCTGTTACCATTAATAATTATGGGAAATTGCTCTAATGGAAGCTAACTGTAAGAAGAATATGCAAATTGTTAAGCCTCTTATCTTTACATAGCTGGTCAGGAATAGTGAGTCTTTTCCTAATATTATAAGAAAATCTTGCAATACAATGCTACTATTAATGAAGAAATATGGAATCTTCTATCATGTTGTGTAAATTTGTAAATAGTTTTAATGTTCTGTCTTCAAAGCTTCCTACATAATTTGTTCAGGGAAGAGTTCAATGCAGTGTATTCATTTTCCCAAAGTAGCAGAATCACCATCCTCAACCTTGATTGTACACTTTTTAAAAAGTATACTTGTTAGGATAGAAAATACCAATATTTTCTGTCCATAAAGTAACTGTAAAATAAACTACAGGTAATCATAGACTTATAACCAGAATTGAATCCAGAATTTTAGTTGCAAGTCATTGTGGTTGGAAGTTGAGCCACCATGTGACCAGACTGAATTTTACAACCGTTTTTATGACAGTAGCTAAGCAAATCATGTGATTGTTAAGCAGATAATGTGGTCATATGTCCAAATTCATCTTATGCAACAGATATTTGTTGTTGGAAAATGGCAAAAAGGTAGCAAAACATAATCACATGGCCCTGAGATGCTACCACTGGTCGTAAAAGTGAGCTGATTGCGAAGCACCCAAAATGCTTTTTACATGACCACAGAGGTAGTGCAGCAATCATAACTTCAATAATGGATCCTAAGTAGCTTTTTTCAAGTCCATCATAACTAAATGGTAACCAGTCATGAGTCGAGGACTACTATACATGTGCTATGATAGCCACTATAAAATGGCTTTTAAAAAAATTCTTACTCTTCTTTGACCCTAGTGGGCTTTATAATTCTCCTAGTGACCGAACTAGATCACCAAAGTTTCCTCATTCACGACGGCATCCTTCAGGCGGAAGTGAAAATGAGCCTGTGCAGCCTTTCAGAAGAAGGTGGGACCTAATCCTAAATTTATTCTAAATACTCTGCTGTTTGTTATTTACACTTTCTTTCTACTTCCTTCCTAAAATAAATTTAGGGTTTATTTATGTGTATTTTGGTTCTTTTTGTTTTCTCTTTGACTATCATCAACTATGTTTGCTAATAAGGTAAATGGAAGTTTTCCAAGTCACCTAATTGGTGCATCTTTAAACACTTGTGGTACCCAGGATAATTCAACATTAATAATACTGAAAGTGAAGTAGTAATAAGAATAATTGTTATTGTTTCATAGGAAAAACCTCCTCATTGTTTCCTTTTCCAAATATATATATGTTTGACATAATTATGCAGACTACATGGGGCTGCCCTTGAAGGGTATCTAGAAGCTTCAGCTGGTGAACAATGCAGTGGCCTGGACAGTTTGCTTCTGGGTGCACTTCAAGGTGCAGTTTATTTGAAGGACTGTTTCTCCCCAATTACATCTATTTGGCCCATCAGATTTTGCATCAGGGCATGTAGCAGGTCCTGTCTGCTAAAGGGTTCAACCTGATGGAACCTAGAAGACAAGGCTTTTCTGCCACGGCACCCTCCCATTAGACTAACATCCTCCCCGAAGTGAGCTTGGTTTCTATGGCCTTCCAGAAAGCCCTCAAAACTGTTTTTTTCATCAAGCCTGGGAATCCCCTGGCAACAGGGAACCCAAACATTGGCTCCACCACATATAACCATCTTGCAATCTTGTTCTTACTTACGTTTAATTAGTTAAGTGGTTTTATAACATGTTTTTAATTGTTGCTTTTATTGTATGTCACCTTTTGTGAAGTGGGCAGTCATATAAAATTGGATGGATGGATCGAATACTCCTGTTTTACTTTTTGCCACTGTCATTCTGTTTTTCTCCTTTATAGATCACGATCCCGTTGCAATACCAGCAGTGGTAGTGAATCAGAAAATTCTAATAGAGAATATAGGAAGAAGAGACACAGGTGATGAAAAATTATGCACAAATTTTGAACCAAATGCATAATATGCTTAATTTACAGATTATGGTGTAAATAAATCTGCTCCTATGCATGATATTTTCCTGGCTGATTAATTTTCACTTGAAAAACCTGTAAATAGGAGAGGTTGCCTAACTCCCTTTTGTTACATATTAGAAGCAGTCCAGAATTACGAGTAATTTAAACTCTGAATATTTCCCATGAGCATTATGGTTATGTTCATCTTTGGAGAAAAAATTCTTCATTTAGAAAGCAGAGATAAAAGCAGCTTGCAACCTGCTCAGGCAAGGCAAAGAGAATAAATCTCTCCAGGCTCCAGTGATTTCTTGTATCAAAGAACTAAAGAAAAAGAAATCAGAAGTGATCGGTTGTTTTTTAAAACCAGAAATGTTGGTAGCTAGTTTATATTAGAATGTTTTACCAATGCAGGGAACTAACCTAACATGAAGATTGATTCCTTGCCTGCAATTTGAAGACAAAATCCAGAGGACATTGTGGGTAGGAGGGAAGGTAATTCCTAATGAAGGACTTCAAACTGAACAATCAGTATCTTAGATGACTCGACTAGATGTCTATGAATTGATTTCATCCATGGCTTTCATCAAGGAAATGTTGGATCATGTGAAAAATCAGTCTAGAGATACAGATTTGATGTTGATATGCCTGACTTCTAAGATGGAATTGAGTTTAGGTTTGTCACAACATGCAAACAAACAAGCAAACACTGTGTTGGGTTTTGTTGGGTTTTTCTCTTTGGATTTTTCTTTTCTTTTCCATTCATTCAAAATCAGAAAGAACAGTTAAAACACTGCTGTTCTGCAGAGCCTTTTGGGGATAAATGTTATTGTTACACCCAAGTTAGTTTTTATTTGTTACCTTTTTTTAGTTGCTAACTAGTTTCTGATGTGATAGGTATTGGTTATTATTCTACTGGGGTTATTTTATTGCACTGATTGTAAGCCACTTTGAATTTGTGATTGAAGCAGATATTTGTTTTGTAAATAAATATAACTAAATGTGCTGCCTGGTTCATTAGAGTAGTACATTTATTTTTCTTAAATCTCTAGCTACTAGAATCAGTCATCTTATGACATTGTTACTTTTAGCATTCAGTTTGGGAATAAATGTGCAATATTTCAAAATAGCATTAAAACAGAAGCCAGTATGTCAAGTGATGATCTTTATATCATGAAATAGAACAGGTGTCTGTCTTCAAGATTAAATTTCCAGAATATTAAGGTGTTTATCTGATTATCTTCCCAGTCTGAGGCTTTTCACATCTGCTGAACTGCAAGTCTCATAATTTCTAACTGTTATCATTATGTTAATTTTTATAAAGGTTCCGACAAGAGAATGACATGGTTGATTCAGCCCCTCAGTGGGAAGCAGTGCTGAGGCGACAAAAGGAAAAAAACCAAGCTGAATCCACCTATCGACGTTCCAGGCACAGATCACGATCGTATGTTGAATGCTAAACTTTTTGGACTTCTAAAATGAGAAAAGTTATCCTTATTTAATATCATTTTTACTTGTTAGTTAAATACAATAGGAGAGACTCCCTCTTGTGGTCAATTTGAACATTATAAACAAGCTTTTGAAAGCCAGATGTAGTTATTCGATTATATTGCAATAAATCTTAAGGAAAAAGAATAACAAGAAAATTAAATGCTACAATGAAAGAATAGCTTGGCCTAATTAAAAAAATAACTGCTCTGTTTGAGAGGGTTGAATATAGGAGAAAAATAGCTTAAGTGATGTTTTAAGAAAAAACAAGCAAACACATAAAACCCCTCTACTTTCTATTGCTGTAGAAGTCATCTGTATTGCCAAAGGATTTTTAGACTTAACAGCCATACAAATTCCATAGTTAAATATTCAAAATAATATCTAGTTGCATGTTATTGGTTTATATTGCATTTGATTAGGTATCGTGACAGGATCCACACACTTGTTTTGGGAGCTAGGAAAAGTTAAATAGTAAAATAGTATTCAGTATTCAGACTTGGCAAGCAAATTTCTGGGTGGACATCCTTCTGAAATAACAAAGTCCATTGCATCTGAAGTCGTCTGCACTAACCAATTACATTTTTAAAATTCATAGAGTTGTTTGTTTTTTAATTTGCCTGATATATCAGTAGAGAAGGCATAACTTGCATAAATGTATGATACCCTTACATAATTTGCATCATTGTGAAAATGAAATGAATGCTGCAAACTGATATAGTTTGCAGATTAATGGATGTTTTGGTTCCAATGATTCATATTAGTCATTCTGTACTTCTGCCTGCTAAAATGTTGTTTCTCTCCTTCACCTCAAGAAAGCTTGAATTCCTGATGTAGCAGCTGTATTATGCAGAATAACATACAGCTGCTTTAAATTAAAAAGAAAGTCACAACAGATTGCAACTAGCAAAGAGAGACAACTGTAGTATGACTATACACCTACAATGGCATAGCATTTTCACCTAAAATGGAACTCTGTTGTTGAAATGCTTATCACTCATTTTGGCTTATCAGCAGACTCAGGTGACTAGGAACTGTAAAATAATTAGATTTTGATTTTTCTTAAGAAAATCTTTTAAAATGTATCATTTCTCATATTATGCAAGACATGTGTCACTGATGCCTTCTCTATATACAGTAGTCGTTAAATGATATATTTCCTGGAATTATTGTCTGATTTTGTTTTACAATGAAACATAATTCTTTCAAAGCAAAAACATAAGTTTTAGTGTTTCTCCTGTTAAATAGCCAATTTGTTCCTTTTAGTAACAAGGATGAGTGGAATGTATCCAGTCTCCACAAACTGTCTTTTAACCCTTTATATAGCATTCCTAAACACCTTTTATACATGGTTTGAAATAATAATAAAAATGCTATTGAATTTTGCTGTTATCACTAATATGAGGGGGATGACATAAGTAACATTTATTTTCTGTATATTGTGTTGGATCTATATGTGATTAGATCTAATTAAACTACTTATTCAGGGAAGCATAAATAAGACTACACAGTTTATTATAAATCAGAGTATCTTTTATCTATTATTTGCTTGTGATTCCCCCCTCCTCCAATGGTTCTTCAGCAAAAAGGTCTAAAAAGTCCTATGTTGGAGGGAGATGCATAGCTTAAGGATGCAGTTTATGACTACACTGAGGTTTGAGCTACTTATTGACCTGAAGGTTTTGTTTTGGATGGATAATGGCGGCTGTAGGCAATTCACCGAAGGTTTCTTTCAGTATGAATTGTTTATGCTTGGTTCCTAGTTACATTACAGATTCAGAAGAGGATGCTGATCTCTCAAGATGAGGGCAGAGTTCACAGCTGCTGTTTTGCATGAATGGGTCTCTGTGAAAAAAGAAGAAATTTAGCATTAGGGATTGAGAAATGCTATTAAACCTTCCCTTTCCTTCTTCCACACTCCTGCACTAACTAATGTTCCTTAGGCAGACAGGAGTACAGAGGACATAGAAAGGAATGTACAAAGATTGGGGCGAGGGGATCAAGGTTGAAAATGCAAAAATATGAAGAATATCTCTTTGCCCAGGAAGAAAATTTGGGCTGCAGCTCTCTTATCTGAGAGCCACTACCTTTATTTAGGTCAATTGAAAGTACAGATAATACAGGTAATCCTCGATTTACTATCACAATTGAGCCCAGAATTTCTATTGTTAAGTGAGACATTTGTTAAGTGAGTTTTGTCCCATTTTACTATCTTTATTCCCATAGTTGTTAAGTGAATCACTGCAGTTGATAAGTTAGTAACCGGATTGTTAAGGGAATCTGGCTTCCCCATTGACTTTGCTTGTCAAAAGGTTGCAAAAGGTGATCACACGACCTTGGGACACTGCAACCATCAAAAGTATGAACCCAGTTGCCAAGCATCTGAATTTTGGTCACATGACCATGGAGATGCTACAAAGGTTGTAAATGAAAAATAGTCAGTGCCATTGTAACTTTGAACAGTTACTAAATGAACTGTTGAAAGTTGAGGACTACCTGAGGTTTTCAGGAACTGTTTCATGCAGCAAGGTGAAAATAAAAAATAAAAATAAGGTGAGCAGAAAGAAAAATGTTGAGATTAGTTAATTAGCAAATTTCTACACTGCCTATCTTACCTAAGTAAATGACCAAGATCATACAAGCACCTTCACAAAAGGTATAACTCTTTTTCCACTTGATTTTGAAACATTTTGCCTGATATAAACAGTTCTATGAAATTATAACACTTGAAGTTATTTAATGCACTTTGCATTACAGGTAGTCCTTGACATAACAACCAGTCCTTGAATGGCTGTTCATGTGATCATCATTGCAGTCTTCTGTGCTGGCTTCCCCAGAAAGTCAATGGGAAAGCCAACAGGGAAGTTTCAAGTGGAAAGGATGGAGGATTTTAGGTCCATTCTTACAGCACTCCTAGGGATTTCTCCCATACAAAATTTCTCAGCAAGATGCAAGAACAAACCTCAAATCCTGAAGATTTGTTATCTTTCTAGTGTTAGAAAACTAGTGAATGCCTTAATTCAGAACAATGATGTTTGCTTTCTAGCCTTTCTAGGCTAAGAAGGCTAGCTAACATAATCATTCTCACAATAGTTTGGAAGGTCACTTTTCCAAATTGTGCAGTTTGCAGAAGGAACCTTCCTACGATTGCGAGAATGGAACCCACTTGCAGGATGGGGCAAGGTGGCCTTGGAAGGAAGACTGTACCTTGAATTGGGTGGGTGAACCTGCAGAAAAAGGCAAGGGTTAGTGGACCTAGGCATAGTTAGGCAGGGAGAAGGCCCTCTCCCCGGCACTCAACAGCCAGCACATTCAGTTAACAATTACAACTGGAAGAGCTGGGATTGTGGTTGTTAAGCAAAACAATCACATGGATGGTTCACTTAATGATTGCTCACGTAATAAATGTCTTGAGATTCTGGTCCCATTTGTTATTGTAAGTCAAAGACTACTGGTGCTCATAATTTGCTTGGTTGCTTTTGAAGTCAAGTAATTTTTCTATGAAAGTGATATTAAGCTATTAAGGTGGCATTTTTTTCAGAAACAAGTTTACTTGACTAGAAACTAGTGTCAACCCTGATTATACCATTAGTTGTTTCCACTTTTAACTTTCCCAACACTTTGAGACGTATGAGATACCTTAAATAATTATTTTTTAATTAGAAGTTTAGTCAACACATCTTATGAATTTTGGAGGAAGATAAATAGTGATTCATCTCATGACTTTTGTACTCATAAGATGCCATTTCCACATATAAAATTTAAAAATTATTCCTGTGCTTAAATATTGATTGAGCCATTGTTCTTAGTTGTCATAATTTAAAAATTTTGTATTTGTTTATTATGTAAACTGATAATAAATAAATATATATATATTTGAATGCATATAGGAGAAGCCCAGATGTTCAAGCAAAAGAAGAATTATGGAAACACATTCAGTAAGTATTTCTGCAAGTATGGATACCTATTAGATAATATTTTTTATCCATGTGATTTTTTTAAACTTTTAAACTTTTCTTTTCCAGAAAAGAACTCATGGATCCATCTGGCCTATCTGAGGACCAACTAAGAGAGATTCCATATACTAAAATAGAGTGAGTTTATTTATTGTACAGGAGTTGTGATGTAATGTTGTCCCAAAACAAATATATATGAGGACATAATTTGAAGCTGATCATACAAGATTAAATAGGATGGCAAATATCAATCTAAATTTTAAAGGCACAGATCTACTCTGTTTCTAACATCTCAGAAATAAATGTGAATTACTAAGCGTCTAATTATATATAATTACATCCAATAAAAGTGAAACAATTACTCATCTATGTTTTGTTTGAGTTTCACTTGTGTGGGAAAAGTCCTAAAATGTGGTATTGCAGAAATCCCTCTTAACCTGTACCTTAGTTGAGTTTGGCTGTGATATTGGAATTGTAGTCCAACATTTTGAATGGCATCAAGTTTAGAAAGCCTGTCAAACATATTCCTTTCAGCATCAGGCATAGAAGTGGGCTTTTCTGGAGAAAATCATATTTTATTTAGGAACTTGGTTATTGCTCAATATTTTGAGACTTGAAGTCCATGCATCTGGAGGGCATTCATTAGTGACAAGTGCCTTCGGCATTAAATTGTATGATAAATCTAAATATGGGAGGAAACTCCAAATCCTTATTCAGGCACCAGAGTTGTTCATATCAATTTTAGTCCCCTCTGTTTTCCATGTTACCGGGGCAGATAATGGATTTAGACACGATTGCATCAAATTTAGCTTTAAATGATCTAATTTCCAGTGATTTTGTTACACGCCCTGTTGAATAATGGATAGGGTTTGGGAGAATACTTTCAAACTATCTTTCATTTTAAAGTTTTTAAAATGTACTCTTACTCTGATCATCCAAACTGACTCTTTGACTTCCTTGACCTTCTTTCCTCAGCATAGCATCACTAATTGCCAAAGCACAGTTGGCCCTTTCAGATCAAGCTTCAGTTTCATTCCAGTAATTGGCCATCTGGGATTTCCATGTGGTGATGTGAACAAGTGCTTCTGACAGGATTTGAATCATGTTTTGCATCACAATGTGATTCTGACAAACCACTGAATAGGAATAAAGAATAGTGGTATAGGCATGAAAGCTAGACATGAAACATTTCCTTCAGCATATTTATCTTTCGATGTGCATGCATGCACATGTCGTTTCAGAAGGCTTTAATCTCAAGATAATGCTATTGAAAATGTGTGAACAAGAAGTGACTTTTAAGGCTGGAATAAATTATAAAAGTTTCTCAATGGATTCTGCTTAAAAAAAAAAAAAGACCAAAGCATCAGGGAATGGTCTGCTGATGTGTTCTTTCTGTCAGAAACATATTTTTGTGAGAGATTAAACCTTCAGAGTTTACACAGCTTATTTAATTTTGTGGGGTACAAGTTTTGGATCAAAGATCTTATAAAAAGAAACATTTAAACCTTTATCCTAACAATTTGTGTTATAACATTAGAAACAGAGCTGCATGTGAAAAATTCTAACCTTAAAAGAGATAATATTATTGCACTTCACCCATTGTTAACTAGTTAAAAGGATGCTGATGGAATAATGTATAAATGAGTGAATAAATGAATGAATGAATGAATATTTATATGGCCTCATTGACTATAGGTGACTCATTTCATTTTTCTAATTTTTTAAAAAAATGTTAGTCTCTCTCCCCACCCCTCCCCAACCTTCCATCATGTAACGGCTTGCTTCCTATAGTAAACTGGGCCAAGGAAGTGTGAGTTGTATGAACTGGAAGAAGAGTTAATAGACCCAGTTAGCTAAATCCAAGATTTAACTCTAAATTGAACCAGCTCTAAGTACACCCAGCCTTGCACATTTAACTAGCTTCTCTGTTCACTCTGCCTATTATGGAATTAGTTAATCCTAATCTTTTCAAAGGGGCCTTGCAAAAATAGGGAATCTCTAGGCATTGCCTGTCAGTGAATCTTTTGTCTTCATCTTCCTGTGACTATGTGGAAGTTTTTGTTTTGGTACTGAAACTTGACTATATCCTTTTTCTATTTTGTTGGAACATAGTATATACACACACACACTCATTCATTTATAAATGAATTTGGTCATAGATGTAATACTTTGAAGAAATGCTTTTTCTGTTATAATCATCTTCATAATTCTTATGAACAAATAATGATTTGGTCCTGGAAATTTTATTTCTTCATTAGGACTCAAGGTGATCCTGTTCGCATTAGACACTCACATTCTCCTCGAAGCTACCGCCATTATCGCCGATCCCAGTGCTCTGATGGGGAGAGATCTGTTCTGTCAGAAGTGAAGTATGTTAATCACCGAGGAAAGTGGATGGTCATTTGATAAACATTACAATGCCAGTTATAAGGCATGCAGTTTATAACAGGATGCTCTGGGTATATTTGCTAGAATATTTAATTTTCTGGGAAATTATTCAGGATCCACTCTGATCTAATAGTTAAGGTACCAACCTAGAAATCATATGAGTTTTAGTAGCCCCACCTTTCAAGATGGCTGGGTGACTTTGAGCCAGTCCTCTCAGCCCAACTCACCTCACAGAGTTTGTTGTTTGAAGAAAATAGGAGGAAGAAATATTAGTAGGCATGTTTATTGCTTTAAGTTATTTATAAAGCTAACAGAAGAATTTTTTTTTAAATCTAAATATAAAAATCTGGGTAAGTGACCGGCACTTTGAATTCTTCATTCTGTGATGACCAAAAGGGAATTTATGCCCTTACTGACAGGGAGATGGATCTCTTTGTTTTCAAAAATAACATACTCTGCTAGACATTCAAATTAAAAGGTAGGCCTCCTCAAGAATTTCTAATGGAGCCAGATAAAAAGCATACAATTATCTCTGAAATATAGTGTAGATAAAAATCAGCAACTGAATGATTTATACAAAGGCAAGCATCTTTGTAGTTCCTTCTTTTAACTCCATAAGCAGTGTGCATTTTGAAGTTTGCTTTCTTTTCCAGTGCCAAAGCAGACCTTGTGCCCCCACTCCCGGTTACCCGCTCCTCAGATGCTCATTGTCCCACCACTGCAATATCTCAGCAAGTTAGTAATGACTTTTAATCATGCTTGAATAGTTAAAGTGCAAATATGTTTTAAATGGTTTTAATTTGTTCAATATTTGTTTACTTCAGCGGCGAAATGGATCTAAGGACAGCCTGTTAGAAGAAAAAATACAAACATCTATGAACAATGTGGACAGAAAACATAGTGCTAAAACTATAAAAATTGTTCCTGCATCAAGGCTCAAGATAGAGACCTGATTTTTATCACACACAAGACTGTGGAAGAATGCAAATCCAAAATCCAAATAAACACCTTTAGTTGAGGATCTTTTTTAAAAAATTAAGAAAGTATAAAATAATTTAAAGAACATTCTGGATTGCTGTGGAGAAGATGCTGTTTGAATTTCAGTGAAGAAGAAGACTGCTGCCACCATGAGAGTAAAACTAAAATGCAAGTTATCCAGATTGTATTGGATGTACAGCATAAATACATAATTTAAAAATGGAAGCATCAGTAAAAAAAAAATTCAAAGTTACAGTGCATTTTCAAAGGTGCAATAGTAGAGGTTCTTTATTATAAGGGCTGTAATTCATATGCCTATACTTGCCTAGCAAATACACTACTCCTTTATTATTCATAACAGTGTTGAATTTTTTGCTACCTATTAGAACATCTTTAATACAAGGAATTAATGAAGAGCATTATTCAGTTATGCAAACCCAGATGCCCTTTCAATGAATTTATTACTTTAATTCTTAGTAAAATAATGTTTAAAAATACAATTCAGAATATTGTCTAAGTTATCAGTATACTTACTTGGGTTCTCTAAGCACTGAATAGTAGTAACCAATATAGAGAACATGATTTTATTTGAAATCTATGGCAGTGTTATAAATCTTTTAAACAAGTTGCTATCATATTTGAGTGAAATGTTAAGCCAGACTCCTTTTTTCTAAAACTTTTCCGCAACAGACCCGATAGTGAAGTTACTGAAGAAAAATGACTGAAATTTTCTTGTTTACTCCTTTGGAGGGGCATGGAGGGTGATAGTCATATAATGTCTGCAATTAATTTGATTTCCTACTGAGAATTAGTAGCTTGCTGAATGTTGACAGTACAGTTTTGCAGCACTTGGCAATAGGGAAAAAAAACTTGGAGAACTGTGGATACCTCATTCCTTGGGTATATTTGCAGTGATTCTGCTATTTAATTTACAAGACTACTTCCAGCAAAAATGAATATGGTTATTTCCAGAAAGGACTGAAAGAAATAGTAAATTATACATGTTGTGCAAAATCTTCCTGAAGTCCTTGTTGGGTAAGATGATAAAAATAACAGAGAACATTTTCCTAGTTAATTTCCTTGAATGGGTGGATTAGTTGCATTGTCTTCACAGGAAGAAAAGTGAGCCAATTTAAACAAAAAAAGGATCCAAGAGAAATAAGATTTAAAATTTCTGCTACTATGTGCACTTATTTACATTTCTTAACTGCTTTGATGATGAGCATTTATAAATACAATCCAACTGGAAGACATGTTGAATGTAGGAGAGAACATAGATCTGCCTATCTATAAATTAATTGTAGAAAGTTCCATCTGAAAGGGATATCATAAAATGCTGCCAGAGCAGCAAATTCAAAATGACCATCAATAAAAGTGCTCCCAAAATGGTTGCACAAACTCAATTTTTGATGTTGTATGTGTCTCAAGAGTTTTAAGATTTGAAAAATACATCAATTTTGACAGTGCTGATTTGAGCAAAATTACAGTAGGGAAAATACATGAAATGGATTTGCCATTGCTTTCTCCTATTAAATACGATTTAATTCATTTTTGTAGATGTTTTTCTCTGTGTTTGATCATTTATGGAGAATCAGTATTTAACATTTCTTTTTTAAATGAATGGTTACTTGTGCTGTGTACATAAAAAAGATACACAAATTGAGAAAAATAAACATCGTAGTTTTCAATCTTTGTTCACTAATGACCTGAGTAGTAATTTGCAGTCAGTTGACCTAAACTCAATCAGAAGTAATATTAACTGAAGTTGAATTAAAACTTGATACTATATTAGTATAGGTAATTACAAAACTTGATATGCAGTTACAACACTGAAGATCCCTAAAGGGACTTTTTATACATTTCATGGCATAGAGGAAATCAAGATATATAGAGATTATTCTTGACAGCTTTACTGGAAATGTCGCAAAAGGAATGGGCTTGAATAATCTCCACTATCAAAACAGTTTTCAAGATCATTTCTAGTAGCTAGTAAATTTCTCTGTATTTGTGTTCTGTTTGATTTTGATTAACCAGTGGAATAGCTTGCCTTCAGAAATTGTGGGCGCTCCATCACTGGAGGTTTTTAAGAAGAGACTAGACAACTCTATGAAATAGTAAAGGTTCTCCTGCTTGAGCAGGGGTCTGGACTAGAAGACCTCTAAGGTCCTTTCTGATTCTATTCTAAAGATTACACATATCCCTTTCAACTTAAGCAAAGTCAAGCACAGACCTGACGTGGCCCTCAATGAAATTTAGTTTGGCACCCCGACCTATTTTGTTTCATTCAAATCAATGAAAGGTAGAGCACTGATACTAGTGGTGTAAGATGCTGAATCTAGTCCAGGGGTGTCAAACATAAGGCCCATGGGTCAGATCTGCCCTGCGATGTGATTGGATCTGGCCCGTGGGGCCATCCTGGAAAATATAAGGGGCTGGCTCATGTGGCTTCAGCCTGGTCTATCCAATCCGAAAAGGAAAGATGCCAGCAGTTTGGGGAGTGGCATCAATCCAGTTGGCCATCCCCCCCCCCACCGCACCGAGGTCAAGCACAGACCTGATGCGTCCCTCAATGAAATTTAGATCTGCCCTATCCTCATCCATAGAAACTCACCAGACAATTTCAGCCAGTAATTTATCTCAGCACAAGATAACTATCAGTAGCTGTTGTAAGAACAAGTGGTCAAAAGGACCATTTTTGTTGGAGATGTTATGACATAAATCTGGCTACTAACAATTGTGTGGAATAAGAGCTCTCAGTACTCTGCAACACAGTGTAAGTTTTCCTTTCCCAGTAAAAGTAGCCTTTACTTTAGCAGGTGCTCTTTTTTTTTCCTACCTGCTTATGTACATGCATACGATAAATTGACATAAATGTTCAAAATGCTCAGCACTTCAGCAGCTATGGGTGACCCTTGTCCAGGTCTTATTTTATTACAATTTTTCAATACAGTAATATACAAAACAAAAATAAGACAGAAAACAAGAAAAATGAAATGAAATATGAACAAAACATGTGCCTTCCGTCCTATTGAGGAATTGCCATCTAATTCTTTATCTTCGACCGTTAATTCCAGATGTGGAAATCAATTCAGACTTCTTTCAACAAAATCTCCATAAAAGATTTCCAATCATTCAAAGAAAAAAGTCCTTATTTTTTCCCCCTGACCAAATTTGCCATTTCCTCAAGTTTAGTTCATTTTATAATCCATCTTGCCTTGGCCAGGTCTGACTTGTACCAGCTTACCCTGAAAATTCAACTTGCCTCGGGATTTTTATCAGCCTAAACTTGGGGCAGGATGTTTAGGTTCAACTAAACCTTCAACTGTTTTGTAGGAAGGTAACAAAATGCATGCTCCTCCAAGCTGGTGATAAACAATTTCTTACAGTAATTTTTTTTCCCCTGCCAGCTAAGGCCTTCAAAACAAGGGAAAAAGACAAATCCACTTGTACTTCACAAACATGGAGCCAGATGCTGAACAGATTATAGTGGTGTTATAAATTCCATATCTGGGATGCCCTTTGAATAAGCTTTTTCTCCTGCTCTTCCACTTAAACTAACAGAATGAAGAGGTTTCAATTACTTTTAATCCCTTTCCCTTTCATGGAAAATAACACAGTAGATTTGGCTCTGTATTCAGTGTAGGGGAGGGGAATCTGCTCAGAAGGCATATCGAGAATCACAACCAGCCTTACCATTGTTCAGTCATGATACAGTCAAGCCATTAAAAGGATCTTGAATCAGAAATATCACTTAAGACTTATATACCGCCCCATAGTGCTTTACAGCAGGGGTCCCCAACCACCGGTCCCCGGACCGGTACCGGTCCGTGGAACATTTTCTACCGGGCCGGCGGTTTGCTGGGCGCTGCCATCTTGTTTCGATGAGAAAGTTTTTTAAAAAGACTCCAATGTTTCATCTTTCCTTTCTCCCAAAATGAAAAGACGAAAAATGAACTGCATAAAGTTCTGCTACAGCAGGCATTCGTTCCCCCAAAAAGGAACTCACAAATTACAGAACAAAAAAAAAAAAAAGAGAGGTAGGACCAGGATATAGGCAGACGCAAAACTTTATATGCAAAAAATAGCCAATCTGGGCGGTTAGCCCTGAGGGAAGTGGGGGCGGGGCGGGGAATGGTAACAGCCGGCATGCATTTTTCAAAAACCACACAGGTTGCTGAAAGACAGAAAGAGTGAGCCGAGTAACATTTTGTTGCTTCCTGATTGACTAATTTCAAGCTCCCGGCTACACTAATCGGGCAGGGCCGTGTCGCTCACGTGACCTCCAGGCGCGAGATTAAATTCAAACGGCCGTGTAGGAGGATATCAGGGAGTCGGTTGTGCCGCTTGTGCGGGAGAATCTTTTCATTGCAAGGCAAGCAGGTGGGTAAGCGCCGTGAGGTGTGGGGGGGTCAGATGGGGTGCCGCTGTTAAAAAAAAAAAACTGAGCGAAAACAAATTTAATTTGGATTTAGTGGAAGGACAAGTTTTCCACTTTGTTGGATGGGTTCTAGTTGAACAAATGAAGCCGAAAAAGGGGGCTCTTGCTTTGGGGTCGCTCGGCTGGCCTTGCCTTGTCATGTGTGCTGATGCCGGTACTGGGCCGCAGATCATTTTGTGATGCCGGTACTGGGCCGTGGCACAAAAAAGGTTGGGGGCCACTGCTTTACAGCACTCTTCAGTCAGGGGTGTCAAACTCGCAGTCCAGATGTCACATGCTGGCCACAGCCACCCATTTTAGCGAAGGGGGAAAGGTGATACATGACACTGGGGGCTTGACACCCATTAGATAAACATAACTGCTTCTGCAGTTTTATGAAAGTGTATGTAACAATAATATTGTCTTGCTTTCTGTTGTCTTTAGTTTATTCGTTAGTACTTTTAGTCTGCAAATTATATGGTCAATAATGCAATCTGAAAAGGTGCTCTGTTTCTGAAGGGCCTGATGTTTCTTTTTGCACTTGCCCTACCAGGTATTTAAATATTTTTCCCTGGATCTGATAGTTGGCACTGCTGAAGCCACTGCTGCCTGCCTGCTTCCTTCAAGATTACAAAAATAGCCTGCAATAATTTCACCTCAATTATTTGCAATTTATAGGGCCATAACTACCAAGATTACTAGAAGCTTTAATAAAGAAAAATTTGAAGCAATGTTAAACAAGTTAAGGCTAGTATGTATTCTTTTTAAACTCTTCTTTGCATGTGTATGCCAGTTGGACCACCCATCTTCCATCATTCAACCACACATTGGCTGAAATTTGTCTCTTATTGCAAGTCTCAGCAAGGAGCAAGGTCCCAGAATAGCATATCCGCTCAACCCTCCCCAACCAACTTCCTTCTGCCCCAAGCTGTTACTTATGCCTGCACACATTGTTGTCAAGGAAACCTGTCTTGGCTTTTTCTTTGCACTTACTTTCCCCTTGGGCCAGTTCTGTCCAGAACAATTGTATTTTCATTAAGGAGCATTTCATTCTGCATACAGACTAAAAGATGTGAGATGCACTTGTTTTTATTTGAGCAGACTACCAACACTAGCTTTGTATATAGAAAAGTTCATATATAGAATCATCTGTACGTCTATCAATGTATTATTTCCCTACATATGACAGATGTGCAATTCTGGAAATATGTATCCCCAGGTGATTGAAAATTGACACTGCGGGTCATAGGCATGCTTAGTGTAATTAGGAATATATGAGATCACAGCTTGCAAACAGTCACCCAGATGCTCCTCAGTTAATGTTTTCTGTTTAATGACTATATAAATTTTAATGCCAAGACATGATTCATGCAAATACACCCATCAAAAATGAAATTGCATATTTGCAGCAGCATTTCCTAATGGAACTTTTATGATTTTAACTAGAATCCAGAAATTATGGCTTGAATTTGCTTTCACAACTGAGCCATTTTAAGAACTACAATCTTCAGCTCTATATCTTGCAGAGTGACAAGAGATAGTCCTAGACTTACCACAGTTGGAACCAAAATTTCTGTTATATGCTATTGAGGTCATAAACTGAGTCAGACATAATTTTATTTTTACAGCAATCAAGTCATGATCATTAAGGGAATCCAGCTTTCTAGAAATTGGCAATTACGACCACATGACTGCAGGATGCTTCAACCAGTCCTAAATGCAAGCTGGTTGGCAAACACCCAATTTTCAGGATCCTTTACTCAGTCAAAAGTAAAAAGTAAACAGCACCACAACCTATGGCCTATGGCCATATTCATAGAAATCTTATAAATTACAGAAGACAGCTAAGTCCAATAGCCAAAATTGCTCAATGCTGAAACTTTGTATACTTTTTTCAACAATCAGATTTAAAAATACAGCCAAAACTGTTGGCTGTGTGGTGTGGTTTGGGTGCTGTGTGTCAGGATATGAAGTTTTTGGAATAGCTGTTATGGAGAAGGATGTTGAGTAGCTGTTTCTCTTCTGCTTTTCTTAGTATTGAGATGCTGCAGTGTCCTGGCCTTTTTGAACAGGGTTTGGAGTTTCTTTTGTATGTGATGGGGTGGTTGCTTGCGAAGCAGAAGATGTAGTCCATGTGTGTGGGTTTGAATTAGATTAGAATTAGATTTCTTATTCTCTGTTGTCTAGTCTCCATATTTCAACATTGAAGAATGAAAGTCTGTTGTCTGTTTCCTCTTTGCATGGAAATTTGATCCCAGGGAATATATTGAGTAGGTGGTGTTTCTTCAATTTGGGAGCATTTGATGATGGTGGTGCTGTCATCAATATAGCACGTCCAGAATTTTGGTTGGATGCCTCTTTCAACCTGATGCCATTTTCAAGTTTCCCTCTCCCTCCCTTTGGGAAATAAATTTGCAGGTTTAAAAGATGCCAGAGCACTATTCTTGCATTGTGCTGTATATCTAGTGCAGAGTTGCTGTGAAGCTGCCTCAGAACAATGGTTCTTTTGCCAGTCTTTGTACAAAAAGCCCATCTTCTCTCTTTTACTTTCTGGCTCAGTCATTCTACAACTACAGGGAGCAGAAAATACATGCATTTACTCAGTAGCATCCAAAATATTAAAAATAACCAACAGACAAAAAAGCTGTTTGACTGTTTGAATATTATTATCGAGATCAATGTTGAGCTTGATTCCAAGATAATGCATCACGCTGGTGTTTAAACCAATACCCCCCCACTAAAGCAAGGATTACTAGTATGTGTGTGTGTGTATATATATACACACTGCCCTTGTCCCACTCAATACTGCCACACTTTCCTTTTAGTTCTCTGCAGTTAAAGTACTTGTTCTCACCAAGTCCTAAGTCTACTTATGTCAGTAGAAACAATGGCAGACTGCAGCACTGAACTCCTTGCTTCCAAAGATACTGGTGTTATGTCTGCAGGAGTAGCTGAAGCCAAAGGCCATCTACTTCCTCCACAAGCTAAAGTAAGCTGAGCAAGAATGGGGAATCAGTGGCTCTCAAAATACTGCTGAACTACAAATCCCAGCACAGCAATGAGAGATGCTGAAAGCTTTAGCTCAACAACTTCCAAAGAGTCAGTTTCCACCTTTCGCAGTCTTGCTGCATAATTTAGCCAGATTTTGTTGTCTGCTGGATTCTTTTTCTTGTCTTCCTAAAGGGCAAATGTAACAGTTCTAAATGTACTGGATTTTTTCCAAATAGTCTCATAGGAGGCTTTGCTGCATATTCCATCTCAAGCACAACACATGTGTAGATTATTGATGAAGAAAGAAAATTTGAGATGTTACTTGAAGCATAGGGAGAAAGAGTGTGCATGTTTAGAAAAAAATTGTAATAGTAAGAGACATGCTACATTTTATTTGCAGTGGAAGACCAAAATGAGAAAGATAGAGGCAAGGAAATAGGTTGACAGAAATGGTTAAAACCAAGAATGAACTATGATAGAATTTTTAAAGCTAAATTCAAGCCTCTTAAGCTTCCAAAAGCCCCATGCAATATTTCCCCTTCAAACGGGGGAAAATGTAATTTGAAGCAAACAGGAACAATCACTTCACAATTCTCACCACTTTCTTAAACATTCCAACATGTCTTTCCTGAGGGTGTGAGCAATTTCAGGAGAATATGTTCAATTTAAAAGGAGTGTTGTGAACATAAACAACATTTTCTTCTTCAGATCCCGATCACTACAGAGTCCTGGTAGTTCATGATACTGTGCTATTCCTGGAAGTGGTTTAAGGGGAAGGGAAGGTAGCAACAGGAATTAAAAGCCTCCCAAAACCAAGCCATTCCTATTCTGACTGATAACCCATCTAAAAATTTGAAAAATGTAGCAAAATTATGCCATTGTTGTATGACAGTTCTGCAAATTTCAATGGCGTATTTGCAAATTGTCAAGGAACTACAACTAGTGTGCTATAGGTAGAAGGAGAAGCACTGCACTGAAGTAAAAAAAAAAAAAGTTTTTTGGCAGAATACCTGAAAAAAATCAGCAAAACTGTATCCTGGCACACTCCTATGCATTTTTTAATATTACTGTCTCAAATAGCACCAAAAGGTATACATTTAGAAGATAGAAAGGTCAAGGGAATCCATCGGTCGTCTTAACTGTACAATGTTCACAAAAATAATACATAATATAACTAGCTGCCAATATAAAAATAATTCCCAAACACAGGTATTCTTTGAAAAAATTACAGTAATGATATTAATTGCATGCCAAAATATAGATGAAATAAAAACCATAGGAACAAAAGACATATTTCAGATATATTCTGACTTGAGACAAAGAATGAAGATATCTATGAACTGTCAAATTTTAAATATGTAACTATCTCCTGCAGATGCTGAATGAGCATAATTTTCTTCAAAGGAGTATGTTCTAGCTGAAATGCAGAGAAAAATGAATAATCAATTCACATGACAGCTACAGTTGATATATGCCTTTTCTGACACCACATTCACCAAAGGCAGTGTGAATGGGCAACACAAAGGCAATATGTTACATCCTGAAATTCTAATTTTTAATCTATTATCTGATAAGAAATAAAGCTTTTGTAGAATCCATACCTGCATCCTAAGAATTACTTTCATTCAAAATGACAGCTTTGTCTGCTTACATCTGAAACACACACAAAAAAATGTTGAATCTTTAGATCATTCTTGTATTGCTGCAAACATTCTATAGTAGTAGTAAAATCTCATAATTACAACCTGAGCTAAAGGGAGGGAAGAGAAAGGAAACATTGACAAATATAGTTGCCTCCTTAGTTGTGGAACCCTAAATATAGAAAAACAGCTATGGAATTCTGCTTAAGGAGCTGCCCAAGCAAGTAGCCTACTATGAAAATAATTTCTTCAGGAAAACAATTTGTTTACTATTGCAGCTTTCCTCTATGAACAAGTGGTCTATTCTACATGAGGCACTTATATCATTTTTATTTCTCTCAACAACCCTTAGGTAAACTACATAAAGAAATAAGAGGACGGCTCCAAAGCTGTATAATTAATGCGGACAAGTTCCTGAACCTAAGTTTTCCAAATCCTAACCACTATATCACAATCTTTTTCAGTAAAATTGGACAATTATTTTCCCTATTATTTTCTGGCTCTGAAGATCTGAAAATAGTAATGCTGTAGTGATCCAGATTCAAAGTGGGAAAAAGCGATTCAGGGCATGCAAGGTGTATGCATGTGAAACACTGGGGATCTTTTTCAATTGATTGTCCCTCTCAGTGATCCTAGCATGGAACAGATACTTTATCAACTGCACTAGGAAATGTTTTCAAAAGCAAAGAATTTTTATGTAAACATAGCATTATTTTTAAAGCAACTTACACAATGGTGTATTTAAAGTTATCTTTGGTTTTAGGGTAAATGTAGTTTTGTTCCATATGCAGCAAACTCCAAAGGAATAATTCCTAGTGTTGCAAAGAAAAAGGCTGCAATAGGGAAAACTTGCTTTATGCCTTGTTTGACACCACATTCATTAGCAACCAAAACGAATGGGCAACACTAAAGGCAAGAACAGAAATCAACTGCACAAATGTGCTTTACATGCTCGCACATCATGCAGTAAAAAAAGGCATTGCTTTGTGCATGGAGTTTATCAAGAGTGTCATACTCAAACTGCCAAGAAAATGTGAAGCTGTAGCTCAATGCTTATCACCCTCAGCAACTTTTAAGACACAGGGACATTCACTACTCCCAGACTTCCTCAATCAACAGGCTGGGGAATCTGGGAGTTGGAATCCAAGTATCTTAAAAGTTGTTAAGGTTGAGAATTATTGCTGAGGCTCAACTCATCAGCAAGGCATCAAATTAGGTAAAAGTCACTTGGAATGTGACAAAAAAAATAATCACGCTCATGCATTATATACCCCCGGGCAAAACCAATCGCCTTCGAGCCAAGGGTCTCGAACCAGGCGGGCGCAGGATCTCCCCGTTGAGTTCAGACTCACCACGTGTTTCTACTGGTCTCGCGCTTTGCAATCGGCGGCCAGGCCACGCGCCTTTCCAGCGGAACGTCACGAGGGGTGCCGGAAGTCGTCCCCGCGCTCCCACTTCCGTCCTGGGAGCCTCCGAGGCTTTCGCCGCGCGCCTAGGCTGGGGCGCTTCGTTGCCTGAGAGACAAACAGGAAGCGCATTTTCTGATCTGCCCGCGCGGATTTCTTCTTTCTCATTTTTGCGCCGACTTAAGTTCTAACGGCGCGCTGCATCGAGCGCTTCAAGCGGGGACGAATGCAGGAACCTTTTATAGTTGCAATCCTAACTATGCCCGCTCCATAAACCGCGTCAAAGGGATTAGTGGTCTAATGGCGATGCGGGAGAGCTTTACTTCCGCGGCTCAAGTTACTTGCGAGCGATATTTTTTTTTGCAACACTGCAAGCCTGGTTTCCCCGATCCCGAGGCGCCGCGCTTGATCCACCCGCAATTCCGGAATTGTAGCGCGACCTTCCCACAGCGGTTTCTTAGCTTTCCCCGGCCCTAAAGACACCGCCTTGTCTACGCGGTCTTCCCTCCATCCTCTCCTAGGCTGGCCTCCGCCCGCAGATCTTTCCTCACCCGCTTTGCTTACCTCCATAACCGCCGAGTCAAACCCGGTCCCCTCGCGCGCCAGGCAGAAGGATGGCCTCCCTTGCCTTCCGTTCCCTTTATGCTTTGCTCCAGGACAAACCATGCCAGGCCGGCGGGGGTGCAAAGGCAGGCAACTTCGCGGTGAGAAGTTAAAAGAGGGAGGAAAGAAGGCCCAGCCCTCGAAACCTGCATGTGGAGAGCGCGCGAATCGTCCTTCCCTTTCCTCTGCAATGAGCGAAAGAAGAACAGGGATTGTAGCAGCTACGGATGGCTCTCTCCGCCCCCTTATCAACGGTTGACAAACCACGGAACAGAACATAGAGAAATGCATTTTTTTTGTACTACTGTAGCTGTAGTAGTTCCTGCATAGGTTTTTTTTTAAAAAATATTTTGAGTCCAAATGAATTCTGGGAGTTGAAGTCCACGCATCTTAAAGTTTTGAAGTTTGAAAAATGCTAATTTAAGCCACGTATGTTTTCAAAGTAATTTAAAAAAGTATAACGAGCGCAAAATCCGGTTTCCACCCTTTTTTTGTCCCACGTGATTATATCTTCTTTGATTACATGTTAAAAACATCTCTAAAGGCTTTTAGAAAAAAAAACTTGGAAAGTTCTATGAGCAGAATAGGACCACATACATTTGAATTGGAGCCTTTAGTTTTCTTCAGATCAGGTATAAAATCATTTTTGGTTAAAATTAACTATTTTATCACATGGAACCTGCTTACTTTCTTTCCAAGAATATCACAAGTTGAAAAATTAAGGCAAACGGAAATTTTTACAGCAAAATTGACTTCTTGTTTTAGTGGAAACTCTATGAGGATCTTGAAAAAGAAAATTATAGAGCACTTCTGAAAAACTAGCAAAAGATGTCCTAATTCCTGGCTTTAAATGTGACTTGTGGTCGTGCCAGTTAACTTATGTTGCACAAAAGATGGTTTTGATTAGAGAGAACTTCAGATGTGTGTTTTGAAAGGAACTGTCTCCTTTTGGTGGAGATTTATGATCTAGGGAAAACAACAAAGTGCATTGTGACTCTGATGATTAACAGATGCATTATGGAACAAACATAAAGTCTTACTTTAATTTGGCAAATGAATATCAGACAAAAGAGGGAATAAGCAGAGAGGTACAGTACATGCCATGCAAAATACATGTTTTGCTGAAACAGTTCTAAACATTTGTACATGATAATGTAAATATTGCTTTAGGGGTAGAAATGCATATGGATTTCAGATCCTTATTCAGGTTGTTCCTAGAGATCGCGAAGGCAGACCCGACATACGTGGCAGACAGAGAGGCGTGGAAGCAGTACTCAAGGACATCAGCGGACCTCGCCAGAGCGCGAGACAAACGCTGAAGAAAAAGAAGAAGAAGAAGAATTCAGGTTGTTCCTAGTGCCTCAAGTACGGAATACACATTCATCTCCTGGTTATGAAACATTTTACTTTTTTTCAAATGTGTTTAACAAACCAGTGAACTGATTGTAAAAGTGGCAGAACTATGATGGAAATATGCAGGAATTATTCCTAAAGCAAAAGGAGTTGAAGCCTTTTTAAAGTCTGGAACTTGAAAGTGTTATAAGATTCTTTCCTTATTCACTGAATTATTAGAATAAGGTACAGCACAAGGAAGTTAAACACAATCAGACTCACAAGTTCGGTTATAGTCCATCTTAATAAAAGTATCTTTAGCCTTTCTGTAATTTCCTGGTCTGGTTTAGTGGGGCTGACAGCTATAGAATTGGCATTGACTCCTACTAGTGTTCTAAGCAGTGGTGGGATTCCAATTTTTTTACTACCAGTTCTGTGGGCATGACTTGGTGAGTGTGGCAGGGGGAGGATACTGTAAAATCTCCAGTCAGAGGTGGGATTTGTTGGTTCTCTGAACTACTAAAAATTTCTGCTACTGGTTCTCCAGAACTGGTCAGAACCTGCTGAATACCACCTCTGGTTCTAAGTAAATTCTCCCAATTTAAAATACTTTTCATCCTTTAAAGCCATGTGAGTCTTGGCTGCTAGAGACATTTACGATCACTTACTTGAACTAATTGCTAATCAGGCTGTTCTAATCAGTTGTTCTAACCAACATGGTCAGTTTTGGAGAAACATAAATGAGAGGATTGCAGTTGAATTGCTGTGTTTCAGTTGCAGCACCCACTCCCCTGATTGAAATTAGTTTGATTTTGTTTAATTAAATGATAAAAAAACAAAGTCTTCTGAAGAGTAAGGAACATCTGTGTTGAATGTGTTGTGTTTTTAAAGGGGATTGATTAAAGCTTTGTGCCATAAATTGGATTATATGTATCTATGGTAAATATAATAAACTACACACATACAGATATTTTACGATGCGTGTGTTAATTTCAAGAGTCAGGACTGAAGTGTAGAAGTATGAAATAAATTTATATATATGGTATAGTCTCAACCTGAATACAAAGCAATTTTAAACTTGATGGTGGAAAAAACAAAGATGATAGTTTCATTTCCTTCCGCTCAGAAATAAAGATGGTTAGGGAGGAAGCTACACAAAAAAATCCAAATGAAGAATGTCAAGTTATATAACCAGGTAAATTAAATTCAGAACAATTATAGCAATTATCCCTAAAAGAAGAACTATCAATCCATCCTGGACCAAATAAAGGCTGTTTTCCCCCCTCTTATTTATCAGCAAACAATATTTCAGATATGTTCCATATCTGATGGGGCAGATTAGAGGATACATCATTGGCAAAGTAGGAAGAAAGAAGACAAATAATTGTATAGATGGAATGAAAATGTTTTAAATTGTTCCAGACACAGATGAAGATGATTACCATCCTTATTTGCCAGGGTACAAGCCTGATTCATTGGCACTACAAGTACAACACAGTTACAAAATATAGGATTCAAATTTTCAGGTAGGCTTGCATTATGAAGTAATTTTCAGGTAGGCTTATATTATGAAGTAATTTTCAGGTAGGCTTGCATTATGAAGTAATTTTCAGGTAGGCTTATATTATGAAGTAA